CTGTTTTTACATGATCTACTGTTTACATGAACTGTTATGGATTATTTTTCGAATATGATGAAATGTGGCATTCTTACCCTTGAAAGTACTGGAAGAAATTACATTTTGATTATAACTGAAAGGATAATAAAATTTCTTCAGTGATCATAGTTTTGTTAGTTATTTGTTTATTCACTTAAATACTTGAAATTCATACTAAAGTTTAAAACCAATGTGTCCCAGGAAAAGACCCGAGAGGACAGTCGTGAGTGCGAGCGCCTGAAGGAGCTGCTAGGTCAGCGTACAGGAGAGTACATAGAGGAAGTCCTTGCTCCACATTTTGGGGGCATGTTGACTTTTGTAAGGGAGACAGATCACCTTATTGCCAACAATAATATTGATGCCTTAAAAGACTATGAAAGTGAGTATCCTACTCTGAATTAATGTTATTTTGTATTATTTGCCAATAGCTTCAGGAATACAAAATTAGGAAAAACAAAAATACTATAGTGCTGTTGATCATTCCATAGATAATGGTAATGTTATTTAAAAGAATAATCAAGCTCATTTGAAAGCCTGGATTATACATGGAAGTGAATGTAATTTTTATTAATGAAATGGAAAATTTTTGACGATTTGTAAGCTTTTACTGTAGTTTTAGTAACATTACTAAGAGATTTCATAATTACTGTATTGCATTATTAGTCTCAGGCTGATGTTAATATTAAGTCCTGGATTTTGATTCAGGTAAAAAAGAAAAAAAGAAAAAAATCCTTTTATTGTTATGCATGTCTTCTTGTGTGTATAGTTTAATTTTTTTCAATATTATTTTCTCTCTTTCAGAAAAAGTAGTGCCACTTGTCAGGTCCTTTTCATCTACATGGCGAAAATCAGTGGAACGACTGAATAATGAAGTCATGCAGTGTTTCACAAATTTCCGTACTGGGACTGTTGTGTTGCAACGAGCACTGGAGACTCTCATTACTGCTCATCACACTTTCAACAGAATACTTGCACATCAGGCATTCCAGCACTTGAATATTAAAGGTGACATTGTAAATTCTCACCACCTGATTGTAGAAGCAAAGAAATATAAGCCTACATTTTAGGCTAGCAAGTATTGTAAACATGGTGCGAGAGACATCAATAATACTTTTATCCCATTTCTGTGTTCCTTCTTCATTATGTTTAAAAGCAAGTAATGTTGCATCTTGGTTGTTTCTAACTTAGTGTATTTTCATACCTGTGCATACTTGTGAAGTCTGACAGCAGACAATCATTATGGTAATGGACCCTGTCATTTGAAAAAAGCATTAAGTGTATATTTTAGCCAGAGAGAGAGAGAAAAAAAAAATTACCTTCAAGCATTGTGGCAACCTAAATAAAACAGCCTGATAATCTCAATTAGATTGTGTATGTAAATATTGTTTTTTTTAGTCATATAGCTTTAGCATTTCTTGAAGGATAAAGAAGTTTATGAAATGGGCATGTAAAACAAGATTATAATGATGACATTCCAAATTATACCACTGAAATATAATATGTATATTTATTATTGCTGCTTATTAGCATCCTGAATATTCTTAGCCTACTGATGCCAGAAAGGCAAAAATATATGTCATGTCCATTTTTTTTTTTCCCCTCTTCTTCTTTCTTTCTTTCTTTTCTGAGTGGCTCACCGAGAAGTCAATCACTAGTCCAACCCATCTCAACTGTCTAGCCTCTCCTTGATTTTGGGAAAGATTCTTTTTAACTTTTTAGTGCTATTAGTGTTGTTAATAACATTATGATAATTATACTGTTTAATAATAATAATAACAACATCAAGATTAATTAGAGAAAAAAAATATATATATTTTTCCAGAAAACTCAAGGAAAGGGGAAATCAGCTGAGGTCACATAGATCTGCTCATTTCCTTCTTAGTGGCTAAGCACTTGTAGAATCCTCTATATGCGAACAAATTTCATGAAAGAAAACTACTGTTGACATATAATAGGCAGCATTGGGTTAAAGGGATAATTTTATCAGTTGATTATTTATAATACAAATGTTAATACCGAAATAAAATATATATTGACAAATATATTCTGCTCAGTGTATTAATTACCAAAATATCATTTGAAATAAAGTCATGTCTAAGTGTTAGAATTTTTTTTACTATAAGAAAAGACAAGAAAAAGAATAGCAAATATATAATAATTGTTTGTGAAGGATATTTTTGCCTGCTCATATTTTAAAAAATATGATACAGTTGTTTTTAAGCAAAGACTTGAACAAATTAGTTGCAAGGTGTTTGGTTTTATAAATAGTATGATTCTTTTGACTAGTGAAAGACCAAATGCAAGTTTTGTTATATGTACTGCTAATAAAATCAATACTATTATTTTTTGGCATATGTTTATTATATTAACCCATTGCCGCCGGGGATGGCATGCACGTACATGCCATGCCCACTGTGAGTCGACTTGTTCGATTGTTTTTACACATAGATAGCTACACTTGTACTAAGTATCCAATGAGCCAATTACGAGTACTGCCTGTCTCGCCCATTCACCCTTTTCATCGATTTACGAAAATATTTAACGTTATCCTAATTTGCTGTTAAAAATAACACCATCTTTATTTGTAGCACTACTAAGAATACGTTTTTTCCCGCCAATTCAAGGAAAGGTGAAATCAGGATTAGCAGAGCCATCTATGGACAGACATATTTCACAAAAATATAAAAAATGAGTACTGTATTTCCCCCATTTTTTGTTCATTTTCCCCGGCGGCAATGGGTTAAAATTCTAATAACAAAGAAAAAAAAAAGAAAGAAAGAAAAAAAAATCAAGAGCAGGGTAAACAGGTGAAATAGGTAAGACATAATATAATATGTCCTTTGACAAAAGAGAGTAAAAAAAAAGAAAGAAAAAGAAAAAAAAAAAAAAAATCTAAACAGATTTTCTAATCTACTTTTCATACTATTTCCCCTCCTTTCTCAAGGGGGAAAAATAGTATGAAAAGATGTTTAAAAGAATTTTCAGTGCAACCATGATGGGATTTCCCTGTGCCATACTGAGTCACTGGAGATAGAATGCAGTCAGTCATGCAAATGAAAAAAACAATGAGGCTAAAAGTGACTTTAAGGTGGATTTACACCATGAGCAAAGCTATATTATGCATCTGATGTGAAGTTACGAGGTTTTCAATTGCCACTGTGTACTATTAGTGTGTCCACACCAGCTGCGAAATCAAATGCACTATGCTAGCTACGTCTCACACATAACTCGATCAGCTGCCACGCCAGTGAGTTTTTAAACACATAGCTCTGTTAACACATGCATACTGGAGTATTCTAGGAATTCTCTGGTCCCGTACCCCCACCCCAATCATGTCTTACAAAACATGACTAATATTTACTGAATTTAAAAGTTACATATAACCCAATGGCACCGGGTGTACAAAACAAAACAAAAAACTCTACGCTTAAACAAACAAAGGCGGCGCGCCAACTTTGAGCGCGTGAGTAGGGGACATCAGCCCGAATCACTGGCTTGCTGCGCTTTGGCGCGCCGCCGGCTCGTTTGGCTGCACGCCAGCTTTCGAGCTCTTTGTTTACACGCCGATCGGCGTCACCCGGCACCAAGGGGTTAAAGGTTTCCATATCGTATAGAAATCTTGTCTAATTGCATCTACTTTTGTCAAGAAGCGGGTTTGTCAGTCTAGGTGAATATAAATACATTTATGCTCATAGAAACAACTAGTTAATGGTTTCCCTAGAAGTCATTCTAAATACACAGAATACAAATATTTTATTATTTTTTAAAGTAGTGTCAAGCTTATTTGGTTATTTTGTGTTGAGCACCTTCATGCTGGAGTCACTTTAACCCTCTTGTATACCAGAGCTAGGTCATATTAATAACGAAAAAAAAGAAAAAAGAAAAGAAAAGAAAAAAAGAAAGGAAAAAATAAAGGATATGACAAACAGAATATCTTCTACACTGACTAATCTTATCGAAGACTGTACATGGTAACAAGTTGTATTCCATATTTTTAAAAGTACATATTATGCTAGTATAAGTTCTGGTAATCACTTTTTTGTTTTGTTTTCTGTGTAGATCTGCCAGTAGGGTTTTGAATGGGTGCAAAAATCACTTAGTTTGCAGTCCATTTATAAAATCTGCGAACATCTATTTCCTCACTAATCATTTGTTCAAACACTTCTCCCTGTGGAAAAGTTTTTTTTTGCAGTCCATTTATAAAATCTGCGAACATCTATTTCCTCACTAATCATTTGTTCAAACACTTCTCCCTGTGGAAAAGTTTTTTTTTTCAAATTATAGTGCAAATAGTAAAGATAATCAATTTAATTGTTCTTCAAATATGCAATTAAAACTGTAATTTATATTACAGATAAATCAAATGTGCATTTTTAATAAATAGAAATTAAAAATTTTTCAATATTTTCTTTTAATAAGTGCTGTAAATCATCAAAACAAGATAATAAAACATGTCTTGCAAATTGCAAAATTCACATATAATATGACAAATATACACCTTGGTCTTGGTACAACACACATAATAACCATACATGTTAAGTTTTGCTATTGCATCATAAATATCAAATCAAAGTTGTATAAATAACAATAATAGAAAAATTATTACACTTCAGAATAAAAAAAGAGGAAAAAAAATACTGACTAAAATGGCAATAATATACATCAAAAGTTATGATTATAACAAAAAATAAAATTCTTTATCAAATTCCTCCAAGAATCTACATACAAAGACTATTTTTTTTATTTTTTATACAGTACAGTATATATTTCATTAGTTTTAGGGAATTCCTTGTATTTAATAATAATACCTAAAATATTAAAATTGTGCTCCTTAGTAGTATAAATTTGGAAGTACCCTCTCCATAACCAAACAGTATACAACCAAAACAGCAATACATAAAGTCAAGCAATTTTAAAGCTTGCATGTGTTATAAAAAGAGTATTGACAAATAATACGGCCTAGAATTGTTAATATTACGCTTTTCATTATACAAAACTTGATGTTATCATTGGAATATGTTCTACAGATAATTTCTAAAGCCTTGCAACTGTGTTAATGTTACTCTACTAAAGATGTAAAATCAATCCATACAACAAAATCTATTACAACAAAGCCACCTAAAATGTGTGAGTAACCTATTGAATATCAATACTGAATTAAGTAAGTGATAAGACAGCCAAACCAATTTCAATACTTTATCCAGTAAAGAAATAATCTAATGCATCTCAAAACAAGTTTAGCAGAAAATGCAACTGGGAACAACAACACAAACCTAAATGTACTAAAGTCATATGGGCCATCATTACGATCTCATGTCATCTATATTACTGTTTGTTTTTCTACTATACCATCTTATGATTTTTGAGATATTAAATCTGATTTACTGCATGATGTTTATCATCATTGTTTCTATTCTGTTTTACCACTTTTACTTTTATATAAGATAATCTGATACCAAAAAACAAAACTAAACTATCAGTAATGCCTATATTCTTACTGTAAGAGAATGTAAGAGTTCTTTTCTCTATGACACTAATCACAATAATATCTGAACAATTTAACAATTTCAACCAAAGGCCAAGGTCAAAGTAAAAATATGAAGATGCTAGCTTACAAAACAAAGTTAATTTATTCACACGCAGACTGTTGACTCAAAAGACTTTACTTGGGATCTACAACAAGTGTGAGTCTAGACTGCAACTCAATATTCTGAAAGATGTATCAGCAGCATCACAGGCAATTTACACATAGTCAAACAATATCAACGATCCATTAACATTCGTTACATACAATCACTAATTGGGAATGGACCATTTTCAGGGATATGCACCCTACTTCCAATTTCGTGTATCAATAAAACTGTACACAATGAAGGACATTCCTCTGACATTTTGTTTCAAACTCATGCAGAAGCTCATCAATGTCATTGTCCAGATCTTCTGTCCCTGACAGCTGTTAAAATAGAAAGATGATAATAATTACTAATACAACTAAATACAAAATATTTCATAACAAATATGATATGCATAAGATTACACAAAACAAGCAATGAGTTACAAAAGATTATTAGCTGCTGGAGATGATCCATGTTTCACATTTATTACTGCCATAACATACTGTTTAACTGAATCACCTTTGCAATTTTAGTTTATTCACATGGAAGCACTTGAGTCACCAAGTCGTCAATTAATAGTTCTACCTATCATATCTAGTTACCCTTTTCCTTAATTTTCGAAAAAATCATTTTTATTTTTCAATTATTTTTATTGTTATTTGTATTTTAATAATGTTATAATAATCATACAGTCAATAATGATAATAACAAATATTGACATTGACAACTTTAGAATAAAACACATTTTCCTGCCCTGAAGCAGCAATATAGTGAAAAGGCCTTCTACATATTTGCCTCTCCTCTTGTTCTTCCCTTCGCTAATTTACTTCCAATTTGTTCAACATGAATCCTAAACATGACTCCTACACAGTTAATGGGTTAATGCTTAACATATAAATGAAGATGACATTTATTTGCTTATTCAAGCTGGTTTTGATAGGCATTCCTTGCTATCCTACATTTAGCATGTTTTGTCTTATACTTTTTAAGACCCCACAATTAGTAACAGGTGATTCTAAAGTTGAAGAGTAAAACAAAATATTAATATTGGTTACAAATGTAGAACAATTAAAGAAACTTGGAAAAGTAACAGCATAAACAAATCTGGGCTGAATAGTGTATTCAATTACATTTAAGACTCAATTACAGTTTCTCTTTTCAAGCTTTACTCTATCTTTAAAGATACACACAAACTTATAAATACTTTAACTATTCTGCAACTAGGCCTTTACTACTACTAAAATAAGTGACTTACCAAAGCAGCCAATTCACAAATCATAAATGCACCAATAGTTGCCTCTTCATGATTATCCTGAATGTCAATGTTGATTACATGAACTGGTGTATTCTCCTCAGGAATCCTTGCTTCCAAGCCTAAGAAGAGAAACAAACTAGAAACACATTTACTAGAAGAATAGTATAGAAGAATGGGAAAGTTACTACCATTTAAATAATTTTAAATGACTGGTATCTAGTGTGATTTCCATACTGTTTTAGTAATTTTGCAGTAAGATCATCTGTCATAGGATGAGGATCTGTAACTCAAATAACTTTACACAATTACTTAGAGCAAGTACTATGATAAAAATAAATAAGAGTAAGCATATGATACTTTAGTATTACATAAAAATATGCTTACACCTAAATCAGATAATCCATAAAAAATACTTATAACAATGGAATGCCATCACTACATTAACTGGCAAGCAATGCAAACAGGGAAATAAATTATCACTAATCATTTCATGAGGAAGTAAATAATCAAGATGCATTTGACCAAAGGAGGAATTATTGCTCATCATATCCAACATCTTTGGAAGTGTCTAACTACTGGTAAAGCTTTTACTGATGCATGTTTTGAAAA